GTACTTTTTTTATTGTTCTGTTGAATGCATTCTGCAACCCTTTAGAACTCCTCACCACAAAACACCGACAACGGACGACGACCTCTATTGTAACCTAACAGAATATGCGACGCCATAATGTTCTACGATAGAGGTAAAGACAAGACGAAACAACCAATCACGAAAGACTCAATTCCTAAAGGGGGGTAACTGCACGTGACTTGCAGCGTGTCAGTTTAGAAGTGTCCGATTAAGCCAAATTGCATATAATCCTACTACGTTATTACTCCATTGATTTGAAAATACGCTGAATTACAAAAGAATTGCATATTCATATCTTTCCAATTGCTGCTTGAGTTATAAGAAATAAACAATGTGAATTCATACAATAATTTCTCTATTATACTATATAATATATTCCTTTATTATACTATATAATGAAAGTTTTAACAAATTGAGTCAAATAATATGTAAAATATATCGTAATTCTGTTTTTCAATTTTTAATTCTTTAAATACATTGTAATTTTCAATTAATATCATGCAAGACAAGTATAGGATAATTATTCTTATTATTATTGAAACAAATATTTATACACTTAGATTCTGTCATGTTATATATGTCATATTATGTATGTATGTCAACAAAATTTAAAAAAATATATATTAAACCTGAATGAAAAAATAGCAAACGAACATATAACATGACAGACACTATGAATAATCAAGTTTAATGTATATAAACTAACAACATTGTGAAAAGACAGATGCATTGAAATACACAAGAAACGCCCGAAAAATCAATCATCAATTGTAGGAAATTAAAAAAAATTGCACGCAGCATAGAGAATAACAGCAGTAGAAAATAACTAAAATTTAAATTCGATAAGATAATACGTCACGTTGAAATAATACGAGGTTCTTAAAAACTTACCAGCTTCCAAGATCTCAAGATCCAGATTTCCACTCCGGCTATGACTGATACTACTGCTGCAAGCATTGTAACTGGATCTGTGAGACTCTTCCATAGCGCGGGAGGCACTGCGTTTGAACTGTTCCAAGAAACTGTCTATTTGATTTTCGATGCTGGTCGGCGAGCTGGCCATCTTTTTGCGCGCCACTCCTCAGTAAACGTCAACGTGCTGAAGATGGGAATGGAAGTTGATCTCATGGGTATGCAGTTCCCTAACCGCAACAACGAATTTAGTCTAAGGAGTTGGAGCTACATTTTATAGTGTCAAACTATCTACACTATTGGATTAGAAAAATTATAGTGCACGAGCGAGCAAGTCGCTACAATTTCGTCAACTGTCGTATTTCCTCCCGCTACACGATGCATGTTTGTTTGTCGTCGAGGAACGCCCGGAACTGAAACAACGCATCGCTTACTGCAGTATTTTCGCGACAGGTGTCGCGAAGGGCTGTAAAATTCACGTATGCGAAGTATGGGCACAGGCAAGATATATATCTCGTTTGTAGTATTGTACTTATTTATGTATATTCGTCCCTCCATTACGGCACTTTTTTTACGCGAGTCTGAATCATACAGTACTTTCTATACGCATAAAAAGTATCGGTAAAACAATACTTAATTTAAACATATAGATGTTAGAATCAGTCTTAGTTAGAACAGTCCGCCTTAGCAATGGTATATTATTCAATATATATATTCAACATAGTAAGTAAGCAAAGTTTTTACCGTACTGTTCAGATTTATACTTTATATTGTAATTTTAATTCAGAAATATTTAACAAACGTTCAATAATAAAAAGACAGAAAAAATCTATGTCTTTGGATATGAAAATGAAAATTTTAAGTCGACTTGAAGAAGGAGAAAAATCCTCAGCAATTGTTAAGGCATGTGAAATAAATGAATCCACTGTCCGAACAGTCAAGAAAAGGAAGGAAAATATTAGAAATAGTGTGGCCTCTGGAACTTAATAAAGTTCACAGTGTTCATTGTACACAAGAAATTTCCTGTAATAGAAAATATAGAGAAAGCATTGATGATTTGGATGGAGGACACGCAAAAAGAAACCCATGAGCAGTTTAATAATAAAAGGAAAGGCTATGCATATTTTTAACAGTTTAAAAAAACTTCAGCAATTGATAAAATAGATAATTTTTCTGGCAGTAAAGGATGGTTTCAAAAATTCAAAAAAAGGTATTAATTACGGAATCTTAAATTCAAAGGTGAAGCTGCATCTGCTGATAAATCTGCAACTGAGAATTTTTATCACAAATTGCTCAAATAATTGAAAATGGATATGTTCCAGATTAGGTATTTAATATTGATGAGGCAATGCTTTTTTGGAAGAAGATTCCTGACAGAACTTTTGTAACACAAAATGTAAAAGGTGTTAAAGGCTTTAAGGTCAACAAAGATCGTGTGATATTGCTACTTTGCTGTAATGCATCAGGGGATTACCTAATGAAATCTTTACTCATAAATCGAGTTCTTCGATCGCAAGCAGTGAAATGAACAGATTTAAATGATTTTCCCGTCATTGGGTAGCAAATAAAAAGGCATGGGTGACTGCTGAGGTTTTTCACAATCATCATAAATATTCTGTTGTAGAAGCAGAAAATTATATGAAGAAAAAGGTCTTCCTTTCAAATTTACTTTTAATATTGGATAAGGCACTATGTTATCTATTTAACTTAGAGCATCCAAACGTAAAAGTGGTCTTTTTACCACCAAATACAACTTCCTTGATCTAACCTTTAGATCAAGGCATAATTGCTACCTTTAAAATTAATTACATTAAACAGACTTCCCACGATACTTTTAATAAACTTGGAAATGATGAATCTCTCACGATTTCAGAAGCTTGGAAAAATATACTATTTTAAATTGTGTTAAGAATATTGCTTTGGCTTTAAGTGATATAGAACATTGAACTTTAAATGCTTGCTGGAAAACAATATGGCCAGAAGTAGTTGTACCAGGTAATATGGTTCTGACAACAAAGGAAGAAATAACTAGTATTATTAATTTATCACAAAGGTTTGAAAAAGAAGGCTTAGGCAATTTAAATGAGAATGACATTAATGATTTACTATCGTGACATTACTAATTTACTATCGTAAATTAATCGATACTGACTTAATTCATATATCTAAAACTCATTCCAATGATGAATGTGACAGCGACTTAGAAAATCTTCATAACATCTCTTCAACTAGCCATAAAATTGGAAAGTGCCATTGTAGACATTGATCTAAACATTCAACGAGTTTTAAAATTTCAACAAGATTTAAAGAAATGTTGCAGCAAATATCAGAAAATTTATGAAAACTTAACAAAAACCTAAAAATTTGAGAACAAATTTATCTTTCCGAAAAAATTAATAATGAAAATGAAGTCGAACTTCCAAGTATTTTAAGTGATGAGGATAATGAGTTTGTGCCAATTAAAAGAGAAGGTAGATTGTTTTGAATTACAGTAGCAATAGTGATAAATAAAATTTACTTTTGTTTTCTGAAATGTCATTATTATTTTTTCTTTTTTTTTGTAACCTGTGAAATAAGTATGTATTTTTTATAACTTATACCAGCCTTTCCAATATTTTGTTTTCTTTTGTATGGACAGATTCTATTTACACGATTTTCATTCATTGTAAATAATACATATATATATATATATATATATATATATGTATTACGATTTTGATCTCTGTTAGATTTGTATGATTTATAGGATAAATGCTATATATTATTTCGTTAGTAAGCATATTTATAATTCAGCGTTCACATCAATTGAACATGCAAAGAAATATATTATTAAAAATTCAATCGTCTTTTGAATACAAAACAATTTTATATTATATTATAACATAATTATATTATATTATAAAAATACTATAATATAATATTAAACTAAATATTAAATAAATTTGAGATAAAGTTTTAAAATGGAATTTTACATTGTTCTTAAAAAACTAAAGTGACTTTCTATATATAAATACGCATTTCCTGCGTATTCGTATAACGCGTTAAAGAGGTGTGATAATATTCGTAGATCTAATAAATGTATTCGTATAACATATTAAGATTAATATAATTTTAAAAATACAATATTTATTTTTTGTTAATATATGCGTAAAAAAGTTAATAACTAATAGAAAAATATACATATATATTTGTATATCGCGAAACATATTCTCCATATTGTTTAGAAATTCAAATTATATGTTAAATCAATAATAATAAATAATTAACAGTTTATAAATTTAAAACTAAAAAACTTCTATAGGAAATCATTGATTAATTAGATAAAATCTATTATATATCTCGTTCATGGTAGTAGTACCACAGATGAGATATCTATGTAATGCCTTGTCTGTGGTAGTGCCTCTAAAACCTTCAGTCGATAATACAGAGTGAGGACCAAGTGATGTTGAAGGAGGGGAGAGCGACGTGACATGGAAGGAGATTTGCAAGTCGTCACTCGTTTTGTAGCGCTGATGAAGTGCGTATGGTTTCTTGTTAGTTGTGCGGGTATCGGCAAGTGTTGAGTGTATAAAATCGGTCTATTGAAAGAGAAATAAAAATTTTTCAACCATGGGTGGTAAGTTCAAGTCCGACAATATATACTACAATTCTTTCATTCTTTCACATGCATTGCCCAAAGATTACGTTCATTGAAAGTTCAATTGGGATGTATGATAATGTCGCCGGTAACCGGTCTTGACCCAATGACCTTCATATGAATTATATCTTCCATAGACAACGAGCAATAACCTCTTAAAACATGAAAACGTACATCTTCATTCTAATTTTGATTATTTAATTTATTATTTGCATTTGAAAACAACTATTTCCTTGTAGCATCTCGTTAACAATTCGAAACGCACGTGCCTTGTTTTAATTTATTTTGCGAAAATCGCTCTAATTCGCGCTCAGCTTTACAGCGTTTCCTTTGAACGCATGCGCAGAGTAAAACTTGGCGCGAGTTTAATAAGAGATATTTTATATTTTATTTTATGTATACCTGTTTTCACATTAATTATTTTTCACCTCATTATATATTAAAGTTAATTG